CCGCCCCCGGGAGCGGCCGGGGCTCGGAGGAGCGCGGCCGCGCTGACTGCGAGCGAGGTAAGCGGGGAGGGGGCGAGCCCGGGGCGGCGGCGGAGCGGAGCGGGAGAGAGCGCGGGGCTGCGGGACAAGGGCGAGACAGACACTGAGAGAGCCGAGCCTCGGCCGGGCAGCGGCGTTCTCCCATCCCGTACCCAGCTCCCTGTCGCTGGAGGGAACGGGGAACGAGGGGACGGACACCGTCTGCCAAAGTGACAGCCAAAGCTGTTCCAGGGGAGAGTTAAACTCGTGCATCAGAGGATGCAGGAGAAAGACGAAGGTCCCGCCTGGGTTTATTCCGCCGCTATTCTAATAAATACCGGGTAGGCGAACCGCGTTTCCAAGCTGTGCCGTAAGCGTTCAGTAGGCTCAGCTTGCCAAGGCTGGCTGGCATTGCTTTTTTGTAACCGGGTTCACTTATCCGGGAAGCACTTCGTCTGCAGAAGTGAAGTGGCAGAAAGAGAAATAGAAGGATGCCTGGCTCCAAAGACGAACTGTTTACACAGTATGACTTTCTTTTTCCTCCCTACTTCCTAGGAGAAATGGGTTCACAAATTAGTGCTGGTGCTCAACAGTATCTGTGAGGCTGAGACAAGAGGCTTGTGCTCCCCTCACACACTCCCAGCTGAACTCCTGCTGACTTCAGTGGAAGTTTTCAGTGTGTAGGGACTGAACAGCAATTTCAGCATCCAGCCCTTGATCAGCTTTACATTTCATTAGTGCTGACACTAAATATACTGATGATGTTCAGTCTGGTTTTGAATGACTTCACGTTCTCTCCTGCATTGCTCTGGTATTATCTCCTACCTAAATAAGAATTGTGTCCTATCTATAGCTATACTAAACACGATCAAGCACAATTGTTGAAATGAAAATTAAAATTCCCTGCTTCGCTGTCCTTCCTTTTACATATTCTGTAATAGCACCAAGTCAGCAAGGAAGATGATCATTAATATTACTATTTTGTTTGTTGTGAAAGCTGACTTTGGGTTGTGGGGATTTTTTAAAATGAATTTCCTTTCAGATGACTGGAAAGGATTGTTGTCCTTCTCTTACAACAGTAGCCATAGGAGGCGTGTGAAAAAACAAAGCTAATTAGAGCAACATGGTAATTATACATATTGGTATAAAATACCACATCAAGAAGATAATGGAGGCACCAAGGTCCCTATTGATCATTTACACATTAAAAAAAAAGCAGCTTCCACAGCTGTGTTCCAAGTCAAATGAACTCCTTCAAGAAGAAAGAATGATGTTATGCAGTACAGATGTTTCCCTGGAAAGAATAGCAGGCAGCTGCTGGCATGGAGAAGAAAACAGATACCTAGACACAGATGAAAAAACCCCAGAAGACTTCATGCCCTTTAACTGGTCTCACTTTCAGAAAGGGCACCACAGTTGCTCCTCTAATTTAGCCCAACATATTAATAGTTTTTTTCAGAATTCTTCAGTCTGGTTCCCAAAATACTTTAAGAGATCTAATATAATAGTGAAGCACCCAGCAGTTTATCACTAAGAACTCTATTTGGCACTTAGTAAAGTAAGTTTCAGAATTCTCTGTAACTTCAGCATGAAGAGGATTTATGCAAAACACCACCAAAAATACTGCATGATTTGGGTTTAGCTGTGTTTCTCCAGTCTTTTCAGAATGCTGCTTTGGTCTCCCCAAAAAAGGAAATCCAGGTTGGCCCCTGCTAAGAGGGAGGACACAGCTACTGAACAATAGCCAATACTTTGTAAAGGACAGATCATCTGCTCCTGTTGCACTCAGTGGTAAACTCCAGTGGCATCACCAGGGTCAATGTCTGTCCAAAAGCCTCCATGGGGGTAATATGAAAGGATCAGAGAGTTTGTGAGATGGCTTAAGGTAGAACACGGACACAAATCAAGCCATTTGCCCAGAAATAAAAGATTATTGTAACATTCCCCCTGAAGCATGTTCCTTTCTTACAAGAAGCAAGAGGATGTGGTTATAGCTAGAGAGGGACAGACTGCTCAGGGAGAGCCTCACTGCACCTCTTGCTTTAGTACTTGGGCTAAGGAAGCCCATACTCAGTGTTAGCCACCTGTCATAACTAAATACAATACCATATTCAAAGGCCTACCTGTAAATCTCTGGGGTTTTCTAGCTTAAATATTATGACTTATCTGCAAAGTTGATTGGCTAAACTTTGTGCATGTGTCTATATTAAACTGTTTCATATTTAAACAGTAACAAAGATTTTTTACAAAGTGCCTTTGCAACAATACTGTACAGTACCAGTCTAAAATCAGTTTCACAGTTCAAAATAATAGTATTATTGGTGTTTCACTTCCTTCCTTCTAAAAATATCTGGGTAACATTACTTATTCATGCCTTGAAAGCAAGTACACCAAACACAAATATATATAAATTATCATGATTAACCAAGGACATCACAGAGGACAATAAATGAATATGAGCATACTCTCTACACAGAGCCAGTGTAAGTCCACCAGAATTTAGTATTTTAGTTGCTGCTAATAACAGCTCACCTGTGGTGTGCTCAGGCTCCAGGAACAAGGCCTAGCTCAGTACCTGGGAGGAGCGACTGCCAGTTTGTGTGGCACACAAGTTACAGTTTTGTGCATATGTTGTTCATGCTGTGTTGTTCCACATCTAATTTAAAGCACTTTGAATCAAGTGGGTTAATTATTTTCTTTTCTATTACAAAGAGGGACCAGTAACCAAAACAGGGTAAGTGTCTTTGTCAGAGGTCAGTGGCAGAACTGGAAATAAAGTATACATCTCCAGGAAAGCCTGACTTTAGAACCTTTCCATTAAAATTGCTTTTATCAAAAGGTGATTATACTAATATCAATCAAATAAAGCTTCACTAAACTTTTGTGAGAAGAAGAATCAAGCCTGAGGCTCATAATCGAAACACCAGATTATTCTCCCTACCTCTTATTCTACAGTCCAAGCAGTTGATGGGATGACTTTTGGGATTTTGGTTAATTTAATAGCTTATGATTAGAACTGAAACACGAATGTCCCTATTTTCCTTCTAAGAAGCAGCTCTTCTGGAGCTATTCTTACCAGACCTGCACAGTGTGAGACCCCTCATTTTCTCCAGCTGTGCCCACATAAGACAACTGCAGTCCTTCAGAGCCCATTATATTGCAGTTTCAGTTTAGTTTCTCAGAGCCTTAAACCACTGATTGCTGACATGATGGATCTCAGTGCTGCAGAGGAACCAGCACAGCACATTACACACTCACTGTATACAATATTTATGAAAGTTCTAATATAAGGATCCTTGAGTATGCCCTACTGATACTGATTCTCAAGATAGTTCTTAAAAAGTAGTTCTGCTGGAGGCACCTTTTTTTCAAGGTTAAAATGCCTGGGGAAAATAACTCTAATTTTAGACTAAAAGCAGCGCACAGGAAAGTGATAAACAGCAGCTTTCACTGATCACAGTGAGCACCTTGCATGATTTTGCTTAAGTTAACAGGATTCACTTCTTTGATTTCAGTCAGGCCTGATCCTGGAAGAGAAGTTTCCATTGATTTGAACCAATGTCAGGTTTTACCTATGCTACATGTAGCTCTTCACAAGTGCCTCATAACCAGCGAATTAGTTTCATTCTGAAACTGGGAGACACTCTTTTATAGGTGTTATGGATCATCCCCATGTATTCTAAACACTACAAGTTACAGTGTGGTCCCATGGGATATAGAGCATGTATCAATGGGAAACCCTCACACTTCATGCCAATTTGCACTGACCTAATACACTCCAAGACAAGAAAGAAGAATTTTCATTGCATGGCCTTTCTGGAGCACTATCCCCACACTGGAACACCTTGGTCATTAGAGCAGAAATAAAAATATTTGTTGTTTTTACAGATTTCCAAAATTGAAATTACTTCACTTGCTTTGCTTTAAATCTGCCATTTCAGAGCACACTGCACCAGGGTGAAAGGCACAGGCAATTTCTACTTCTGATTCCTATTTTCCCAGCCTACATTTACAGCCAAATTTTAAACCTTTGGACAGGTGTTGACCAAGAAACTGTGGCACACCTTTAGCCAACACCGTAAACGCCACTGCTGCAGCACTAACACATACAGCTGAAGTGGAAGTGATTCCCGTTCTAGTTGCAATTCAGCCACACAGTAACATGCTCATTTCCAGTGAAATGTAAAAAATAAAACAGCATCTCCGCACATAAGAATGTAGAGGAAAAGAGGCCAAGCACAACAGCGCGATTCCTTTGAAGCCCTTCTGCTTTTTTGGAGGTAATTAAAAGTTGGCTGGGTGGTTTTCCTCTCCCTGGTTTCCTGAGTGTCTCATCTTCAGCCTCTATGGCAGGTGTTCTGGAGCAAGTCTCAGCAGCACCCACTGGATACCCTTACTTCCTTGCATTTGCAAGTATAACTTAATCTCCTTTCAACAGTGATAGCAGATAGGAAAGACTCTGACTTGGGCAGATACCAGGACAACTAAAATTACCAGACTGTATGTAAACAACAGGAATTGACCGTCAGTAACCTCAGCTAGAACACAATTACAGTAAATGCACACATACTTTCTGAGTGTTTATAAATGAAGGAGTTTCTGTCAAGACAGCAGATTATATTTTTTAACAAAGGGCTGAATTAAGTCTGTCCTAAAACCACAGGATGTACCTAGAGCTGCCTCATAGGCCTGCTTTGTGTCCTGTGCCCTTGTTTTTAACTATTGTGGGGTCAGGTCACCTCTCCTCATCCTCCCTCTTCCTGACCAGTGCTGAGGAGGGCAGAGCCATGGGCAGGATCCTGGTGCTGCTGTTCCCTGTTGCTGAGCTTTGTGTGCTGGGGCAGGGTGGGTTTGATAAGCGCTTTAAGCAGAGGTCTGACACCATATTGAACTGCTGGAGAGCACAAAGAGTAGATACTACTGCATTAGCCTTACTCCCAACAGGTTTTGTTTTCTTCAGCGAATAAAAGAGCTGAAAGTTATAGCTTAAAATTTTGAGATGCTACTAAACCTCTGTCTCCAGAAACCTAGAGCCTCCAGTTTTTACATTTAAGCCAGACATGTTTGCCCAGAGGGAATGCAACTGTTCTGCAGAGCTGGGCTCCAGGGGCAGCACAGAGGAAGCCCCTGAGACATTTGAGCATTGGGATGCTTGAGGCGTTGCACTGGAACAGCAGTAGACTTAACCAGAGAAAATAGAACGAACTTGTATCCTTTCAATCATGATAAAAGACTAGGTTTCTTGATTTTTCACTATGAAGCAAAAAAGTGTTTCCTGGTAATTTTATGCAAATGCAAACACTGACTATCTTGTAATTAAAATATTAACGCATAAACAGACAGTTGGTAATACAGCACAGACACACACGATGGCAGATCATGCTGTTATCCTGCAATTCCCTAGGATCAACTTACACAGGAAACATGGAGCTCTGTTTCATCATGAAGAAAGTGTTTTATATCCAGGAAAGAAAAACTAAGCTACTGTAATCAAAGTCTTCATGTTGAAGGTTCTGTTTTATGAGGTATCACTACCGTAACTAATGTATCTTTTGATCTGGAAATGTAACTACCAGGTGTCTGCATACCGCAATGTTTTGAGTAAACAGAGAAATAATTTTCTCATTACTGCCCTTTGATTTGTTTGCTATATAATTATGACTTGGTCATAAGACAGAGTTTGATACATACTTCAAAGTGCATATAACATGTATTTGGTTACCTCTATTAAATGGCAGGATTAATACTACCTACATGTAAAAATAGGCTTTCTTTTTATTTCTTTCTAGTTAACTGATCAGGTGAAAATCAAGAATATTTAAAATTGGTCACAAAATTACCTTTAACAATCCTCTTGTGTGTTTTGCTGTGTGTACATGACTAAGTTCTTCCACCACTATCTTGGGAAATCTGTAAATACAGAAAGAGGAGTGAGCCAAATTCTGCCATGCAGACCTTAGGAGAGGATTTTATTCTTCAAGTACTTCCTTGTTCAAATATTTGAATAAAAACATTGTGTAATGTGTACTCAGGAAGCACTGTATTGATTTCAGTAGGTGTCATGCAGCACTGTAAGCAATCATGCACTAAAATGGAGATGACATCTTCCAACTTGCTTTCTGGTATGTCAGGCATCACTCTGCTATGAGTGCAGTTGACGTTTCAAGTGAAAATAATAGTCTATACAAAAGTCTGGTGAAGAGCAGGAATAAACAGAATTCCAGACTCTGTCTGTGACACATAGAGAAAAACACAAACAGAAAAATTGTAAAGACAGATAAATGATGAGCAACATGTCTACAGTATAGTTATATTTGACTCGGTAATAATCCTCTCTCAGGCATGGTAGCTCACTCGGTAACATGAGTTGAATAAATGTTGTTTGTAATTTACTGCACACTAAGTCACTGCTGAGAAAGTAAACAGGAGGCAAAAAGGAACATGCCAAGCCAAACATGAGGTTAATTAATTCCTCGAGTTATTTGGCAGTTGTTTGGCTTGGTGGTTTTATAAAATACGCTGAACTAAACACAAGACAGAAGCTGAGAAGAAAAAGTGGATATACCTATTATCATTATTATTTACACAAAGATGAACACAGACACAGTGAAATGCAGGCACAAACACTGACTACCTTCATCCCATTGCTAAATCTCTGCAAAGTGGATGATGGTGTAGCTTCTAAGTAGATCACAGAACAGAGGCAGATGGATTAACTGGGATTTCAGGCAATACGAATTAATACAGCTGGGCTGTGTTTGATTATTTAACAGAAATGTTTCTTGTTGAATTACTGCTCTGTCATGACTCTTTTCTGTTTCTGTGTAGTTATCTCTATGACCAGCTTCTTCCCACCTTTGTCATTGGCACTTGGTTACCTTCAACAGTAGATGCATCTGACATCTCAAGTAAAACTTCTGTAATACAAAAATGTAAAATCTGCTAATTTTTTTGGATTTCTGTGCTCTGTAGCTCTCAAGAATCACTTTTTTTTTTCCCCTCCCCACTTCTTTTAGACAATTCCTTATGGGCTTTGGCTTGCTTTGGCTGAGAATTTGGTAAAGACCTCTCACGAATTAGTAGAACTACATGCAGTGTTTTCTGTCTGAGAAGATTATGAACAAATGCATTCTTGGGCTAAAATAAACTGCTGTCATCTATGACATGTATAATGAACCATGGGTCAGAGAAAAAGCTATGCAGTCCCCGTGGTTATTTTCTGATTCCCTTAAGGTCAATGGAATTTTGTGAAAGATAAAAGTATAGCATATTTTACAAAAATATATACATACACTAGATCTATATATCTATATACATACATACATATGTTTGTCTCATTTGGATAGAGGAAATCACATTTCAATAATTATGCGTCTATAAATACTTTCTCTTTGTTAGATCTTGAACTAAGTTGTAGCATCAGAAGGATCAGAAATATGATGCAGTTTCAGCATGTTTTTTTACATGAGGAGCAAAATGCTTTCCTCATGTGAAAAAAGGGCTCTCTCAATTTGTGTATTGCTGTACAAGCATGTTAGGTGTGCCAAAATGTTTCTTGAAAACAGCTCAGTATCCATGAAACAAGAACTCGGGGAAAATGAGGTTCAGTGTCTTTTGTGTGGGATGCATTAACCGAGAAATAGAGTATCTTGGAGGTGTAATTGTTTTATTTTTCATTTTTGGTAACTAGGGTCAGTGAGACTCCGAGGAGGCAAGAATGAGTTTGAAGGTGCAGTGGAGGTTTATTTGAATGGAATCTGGGGAACAATCTGTGGGAGCCATTGGGACGATAATGACGCGACAGTTGTATGTCGACAGCTTGCACTTGGGTAAGTTTTGGTTTGAGTAAAAATCAGTCAATTCATTTTCATGATGTTTCAGTATAAAGGACAATCTACTCTGTAAATCCTCAGGGCTTTTTCTGTTTGATGGTTACTTTTTCTGTTTGAATGCTGAAGTTGTTCTTCCCAGGATACTTTGCTTGCTTCAGCCGCATTACACTTCAAAGAGGAAATCAGTACTTCCTCGGAAAGCTGAAGATAGGATCTGGACAGGAGCAGACCTGGCAAATGCCTTCCTTTCAAACTGAAATGCGTGAACAGGTCAGCGAGCTTCAGGCAAACACAAACTGCTCTACTGGACATCTGGGAGATGTCCACAAGGACAGAATTACATGGTCCCATCCTGATCTCACACATCTAAGTGTCAATTAACACTCCAGTGAGGTTACTGAATCTGTAACAATGTAAATGTGGCCTGGATTAGACTCTACATGGGCTCCTAATCACAGGAAAATTCCTGATTTTCAGGGGAAAGGAGTTCTCCTAGTAATCACCCACTGTAGTATGCCAAATGACACCTGGAACTCATCCTACGTTTTTGGCAAACAGCAAACATTTCAGAGCTACAGCCATAGCAGACAGGTTCCAAGTCCCTGCAGTGTCCTCACTGACCACCACCTCCCACTGCTGCCAGAATAGAGTTCATCAACAGCACCCTTTAGCGTCATTTGGCTGCCTTTATTGCCTTTCTAACATTTCTTTCACTCACATACCAAAGCAGTGGTTTTGCTTGCTACAAGCAGTAAGGGGCTCTTATAGCAGACTTGCACTGTGACATTCCTAATGATTATTCCACTTTTTAAGACTGCTAGCCAGAACTAAACCTAAGCTGGTTTATAATGTTCAATACTAATCTGGACACACCGTGCCAACTTATAAAAATATGAGGATTAGATGAGATAAAAGTTCAGCCATCTGGAGGCTGTGATTTTGCTTATGACTTCAGCTGTCTACGTGCAGTGGCTCCTTCCCTCATTTTCATCTAAGTCCTATCTGCTTTCCATACCCTGAACGTTTCAGCTGAACGAGGATGCCGTTAGCAAAAGCAGTTCAGCGATACGGGTGAATGGTTTCGTCTTTTCAACAGAAATGGCTCAAAGCTGAACCCAGGCCAAAAAAGCCCCAAGCAAAGGGTAGTTGAAAGCTTCAGCTATCTTGAATGTTTGGCAGAAATTTGCATCTCGGTACCACCAGGTGAACTCACCGGTGCTTTTCAGGTGCTCAGTCTATCTGTTCCTTTGCTTTAAATTTGCTGTGCTTTGCGAGGAAGAGAAGATGGCTCTCTAAGTGTTGCTGTAGATTCAGCATGAGAAAGAAATAGAACTGTTTATAAAATGTTCTGAGTGGATGGGAATAAAGAGAAATGGATGGGGGCCTGGGGGGCCTGATGCAATAGAGGTGGTTGCACTGCCCCATCATCACAGCCAGAATACTTGGCATTTATGGGCAGAGCTTGGTACATCTTCATGGAGTGAGGGACTGAAAAAGGGAGAAAGACCTGGTGGCATTACCCCTCCTGGAACTGTAACTGCAGTGGGCTGGTATTGTAGAGTCACCCCTGGACTGTAGACTCTGTGTTGATTTTTTGTAGTTAAGAACCAGGAGAGCAGGAATGTAGCTGGCTCTGCAGCAGCACAGGCCTTGTACTAAAATATCCCACAACAAAATGGTGAGAACTGGGTCACATCTGTTACTTTTCTTTGTGCACAAGACAATGCTGAACTGTATGAAAATGTGATGAATTTACACTACCGAAGAAAGCCCTTTCTTTTCTACTCCAAGATTTATACATGAGAAAATGTTCCCACTTCCCTTCCTCCCACTCTGATGCCCTACCCTGATTATTTTTACAGGGAAAAAGGTACAGCCAAACACATACCCTTTGCTGGATTAGGCCTTATTCCTGTTTTCTGGAGTGAAGTGCGTTGTCGTGGTGATGAAGAAAATATACTGTTATGTGAAAAAGACACCTGGCAAGATGGGACATGTCCTCAAAAAATGGCAGCTGCTGTCACATGTACCTCCTCCCTGGGTAAAAAAAATACATATGGTTTTCTCATGTCCTTATTTTTTTAAGCGGAAGTTGTAATAATTACTCATTATAAAATCAGAGAAAGTGTTAAGATTTCTTGGAACAGATTATAATTGAATCACTGCATCATTAACTGCTTCAAATACCTCAAGCAGCACCTAGCTTAACAACATTTTACCTTGACTATAGTCAACAACAAATTGCTTCTTTCAGATGTAGCTTGTGAGAAAGAGTAAAGTAACAAGAATCTCTGGCTGTAAAATGAGGATTCCTTCCCCATTTCTTTTTCTTTAATGTCAAAATTATTAGGAAAACAAGTATCATGAATGTTTTTAAGATATTTGATATTATTTTAATCAACATGCTAACTGAATGGGCAGGCATGCCATCAGATTTAAATGGTGCTGCCTTGAGGAGGGCTGGGCTGGCAGTGCTGGAGAGCTGGCAATGCCAATCTCTTCAGCTGACACCAAAAGGTGTGGCTGCAGCTGGTTCTGTGCTGCCTTTCTCCTATAACTTATGTTTTTATCCAAAGAAGGTGGGTGCATTTTTGTCCTAAAGCTTTATTAATAATGAGCAATATTTTGATAAATGGCTTGTAAAAGCATATTTTGGTCTTCGAAAACTACTGAGTACAGGAAGGGAGAATCTTTTCAAGCTAGGGGACAAATTAAAGCACAAGAGTTTTGCCTAAAGAAACTGAAAACTATAAATGTTTTCAGGTTTTGCAGGTTCCATTGCAACTAGCCTTTTAAAATATTTACACACACATCCCCCCATATTTCATATCAGTGACACACTAATATGAAACTGGGGAAGTGTCCTCAGTTTGTTTTGGTTTTTTTTTTATAACCAATAATTAGATTAAATGATAGCATTAATTGGTTGGAAAGTTTCACAAAAACTACTCAAATTATTTTAAAAGACTGGAAGAAGTGCAATACTTGCACAATTCAAGTGAGACTCCACAGTCAAAGAGATTTCACTGCTCTGACTGGATTTTCTAATGGAACGAGAAGACCCAAAGATGGATTTCTATTTCTCTGTCCATGACATAATTTTTGCCTCTTACTTCAGATTTTACCTGATTTTGCTCTTGTGGAGGGGTAGCTCTACTGACTGATTCACTATTAGGTCTTACAGCACTAAGTATCTGTAAAGCTCTGCCACCTAGGTAATTCAAGATCAACACAGTTACTTGTATGTGTAAGATTTTTCAGCTAGTGAGAGTGGAGCAAAAGGGAACTCACTTTACTTTCAGGTTTTCCATCTAAGTAGAAAAAAGAAAATGTGATTCTTGAGCAATGTCAGAGAAACCATTAAGCCATCTTCCTCTTCCTTTACTATCAGAATGATATTTCAGGATGTGAATGACCTGTTCTATATGCTGTGTTTGCTCCCAGGCGCTGTCTTCACTCCGATCCGGCTGGCTGGTGGGAGCAATGCCCACGAAGGAAGAGTGGAGGTCTACCATGGTGGCCAGTGGGGCACAGTCTGTGATGACCAGTGGGATGATGCAGATGCTGAAGTTGTCTGTCGGCAGCTTGGCCTTGGGTTTGTTTTTCTACATGTCTGTTATTCCAGCAGCAAAGCAGGAGAGTTATCAGACCCACAGCTGAAGCTAGGAGAAACACAGCTGTCAAAAAATGCTCCTTTAAAATCATAATGATACTTTGGAGCAGTAACTAAATTTATTTATAGAAGATTCAGGTACAGTGACATTACTTTGAATGCCCTGGAACCAGTTTTCAGTGTCATATGATAGGGCTAATTCTGTCTGTTTGGCCAGACAGATAAAGAATGTCTCAGAATAAATGTTGACTTTGTAGAGAAAACTCACAATTTCTGTAAAGCTTCAATCAAAACCTGTAGGTGAAGAAATTTTTTGACTGTTCAAATCCTAACAATCCATTATACTGCAGAGTCTGACAGCCTTCTGGCTTTGGCACAAGAACTCTGCTTTGTCAGGAAGGATATGTTTTTTGGCATGCCTGTGAGAATCTCTCTAGATTTGTTTAAATCACGAGTCTCTGAAGATTGTCAGTTTGTATATACTGAGCTAGAGATCTGTTCGAAGTTTTGACAGTTAAGCTTGTCAGTGATTCTGCCTGAACTAAGCGTGGTCTGAGACAGAGCTACAGCAGCAGAACAAGATTTTCTTGCTTCACTTTCTCAACAGCCGGGGGGATTTTGATACCCCACAGAAGATAAGTTATGGTATTTGCAGAAAAATGTTGCAGAAGTGGGAGACTAAGAGGAAAACTGCTGGACCAGAGAGGAAGGAGATGAGGACAACTGGGATGGAAGGCCAGTGGGGTTGAAGAGGGAAAGAACTAGGAGCAAACAGCAGAGAAAATGCTGGGTTGTATCCCATGCAAGAGAAGGGGATTATGTCTGAGACAGACTGGATGAGAAATAAACAGGTAAATGCAGAGAAGACTGGAACAGAACACACCTGTTCAAGCCTACTGGGACTGTGATGAATTGAAAGAAGTGACATTGAAGGTAGAAAGTTCTGTGGCATTCATGGGTGGACCCCAGAGTGTACTTGTTTTGTAACTGAGGCCCTGGGCCGTTCGAGCCACCCAGATTAGCTCAGAAGGATGAGAACTGTGAACCAGTTAAAAATATTGTAGATCTGCTGAGCCAACAGAGGAAGCAACACACTTCTCTGACATCAGGATTTTTTTTCCTCTCAGATTATTTCATGTTGTATTTCTATATTCCTGCACATTTTCAATTGGGAATATCTAATGGAAAGTCTACCTTCTTGCATCTCAGATTATTTCATGTTGTATTTCTATATTCCTGCACATTTTCAATTGGGAATATCTAATGGAAAGTCTACCTTCTTGCAGGCTTTACCTGCTTTTGAATGAGGCTGTTGTTAATAGGTTTTGGGGAGTTACTAAGCTCTGCTTTACATTTCTGTATACTAATGACAAGTGTAACGCTCTTAGCCTGCCTCCTTACTGATGACACTAAAACTTTTTATTACTTATATTTAATCACCACAAACTGCACTTCTGTGATGCTTCCAATTTGATTCGTTTTTCTGAGTAAATAAATTGTATTAAGATGGAGCTAAAGCTTTTTGAAATATGTCTAGAGATTTAGAGAATTCCTCAAGTAAGCAAGATGTTACAACAAACATGCTAATTAACATGAAGTGAAATCTTACCAACAGTGGCAGCAGACCAGTTCTGAAGTACTAAAAATAATCTAAATTTGCATACTGTTAATCCATCTGGGAACATGCCAGAAACTGTAAAAGTAAAGCTTCTCGGTAAATAGCTTCCTACATCCCTTCAACTTTTCCGTAGCACTCCTATAAAACTCTGGAATATGAATCTACCTTTAGTAGGTGGAAAACAATGATAACTTTTTCTATTATTTGGTTTCCTAAAAATTTCTGCTTGACATAAATTCTCCTGATTATAATGATGGAATGTATTAATTTAAACTAAAGTTTTAGACAGTTAATATAGTCCAAAATTAGACATTTCACTCTTGCCATTTCAAACTAGAGTGAATATAGGAACAGAGAAAATATTGCATGGAAAGAAAGCAAACCTTGGCAAACATTTATATATGAAAGATATGGTATTTTAAATAGAATTGGAAAAATCCTGATAGATAATAAAGGGTTAAACACTGCATAATTTCTGTAATTCTAAAACAATGTTTTCAATCAACATAGTTTTTCTGTGCTCAAAATCCTTTCTGCTGACACAGAGAATACACCCCACACAAGGCTAGTCATTGGTCTGCTTCCTGTTCTTATTTCTAATGCTGATGGGTGATATGACACTTGTCAAGCCACCTAAGATCTCTTTGCTGTGGTTTTCACATGACTAAATGGGGAACAATCACATTTATCTGCCTCATCTGGGTATTTGACTAATGTGCTTTGAGGACAACAGGTGAAAGCCACTTCAGAAATATATACTGGGTTATTTTTACTCTATACAGATATTACATGAATATTAAAATTAAAATGCTCATACCTAAGCTGCACATCTGTAATCTCTCCCAGGAAAGTTACAAGTCAAAGGCACAGGAAAGAAAATCTCCAGCTTGCTTCCTCCTGACTGGGTGCTCTTTGCGTGTCCACAGGGGTGTTGCCAAGGCGTGGAGCCAAGCTTACTTTGGAGAAGGCTCTGGCCCCGTGCTGCTGGATGAAGTGCGGTGCACGGGAAATGAACTCTCGATAGAACAGTGCCCGAAAAGCTCCTGGCGAGAACACAACTGCGGCCACAGAGAAGATGCTGGCGTTTCCTGCACACCTCTCACAGGTACTTCAGTCATCAATCAGCAAAAAACGGGACACAGGCAGAGTTCACAGCTCTGCAAAGAGAACTTTTAAAGTTTGCAGAGGCACAAAGCCCTGAGCAGATGCAGTAAAGGCAACGTTACTGATTTTGCTTTGCAATAATGAGGAGATGTAAGAAACACTGATCCTTGTTTTTGTTTTCCCTTGTTACCGGCACAGATGGTGCACTGCGGCTCACAGGTGGCAAGGGCAGCCACGAGGGCCGCCTGGAGGTCTATCACACAGGGCAGTGGGGCACGGTCTGTGACGATGGCTGGACGGAGCTGAACACGCAGGTGGTTTGCTGGCAGCTGGGATTTCACAGAGCTATTTAGGCCTTAGTTTAGGTAGAAAAACCTTCAACAAATGTGATTTAGCAGCCTTTATTCACCAAGTTCCTTCCAACTATTTTTT